ATACAGAGCCAGAACTGCAAAATTAAGATATTTATAGATTTTAGATGCTTGGGCTACTCTTCACCTACCCCATGAGAGATATTTTACTTGTGTACTGTAAAGCTGTAATGTAAAAAGAAATTTCCTGTTAAATTAATCTTCTGCAAAATAAGGACAATTTGCTCTAATTAAAAAAGAGTAAAATTCACCCACAGAACAAGTAAAAAGACTTGTCTGGAACTTTGAAGAAGAGTTAAATGGAGATATCAGGTAGTACACAGTGAACATCGGTATGTGAACATACAGCATATATGCAAAAACAACATAAAAATCCAGCTGCAACTCCCCAACTCTCAGCCTCCTAACCATAATTAAACTGAATCCACAATTCTTAGAAAAAAAATAAAGGGTAAGATAGCAGTGGGGTATTATGTCCTGTGATTAAGTTGTTTCTTGCAGAAAGAAAGTTTCTCAATGCCAGCTACCTCTGTCCACTTTAAAGACAACTTACACCACACGGAAAGGAGGCATCAGGAGTCAGATGATTCTGGTTTTCACGTGAGGAAACATTTATTTCATTTAAATCACTTACAAAATCATTCAGTTTGCTGTCATGTTGTTCTCACTTGCTATTTTGTATTTTGTTACTTTTGGGGCATTCTGAAATTCAGGTACTGTGCATGCTATTTTGCTGGACTTGTATTCTTAGGTGACAAGTCTTGCAAATAATGAAGATGTCAGTGCAGAAACTGGTTTATGAAAAGTTACACCTTCTAATGCATAACCTGGTAAACATACTAAGAAATTATTCTTCTGTCCCCAATTGCTTTCTGGAGTATGACTTTACCCTGTTTGTGCTTTAGAATGTGTAAAGTTTGACAGTACATAGAACATGCTGCCCAAAGTAAGCATACCCAGAGAATCAGAGAATTTAAGTTCCTAAAGCAATGGTTTTAATCATTTTCATCTGGTACAGTTTTAGAGATTCATTACATTAAATGTGTCAAATGGGTACCATGAATTAAACAAGCCTTCTTTAAACATTATTCTATTCTTTAAACTGGTTTAACTCAGGACTGTACTTAAGAACATCTCTAAATACTCATCACACTCCCTTCTTCAACTTTGCTTCTAGTGCAGCATTAAAAAAAAAACAACCAAAAAACCAGTGTAATCCTAGCGCTGTTTTGCACTTCAGCCCATTTTATTTCATACTTGATGTGAATCTATTTCATACAAAATTAGAATTTAACCAGAAGAATATTCTTTAAGGTTAAAGAAACAAACCAAAATTACAGTTTTACTGAAGTATTCTTAAAGGATAATACAGTAAGAGAGATTATACCTCACTAAGCTCATGCTGTCTTTGCATTTTTTTTTCAAAGGCTGCTTTCATCTGTGTGAGTTGCTCATACTGTAAAGAAGAAGAAAAAGAATGTTTCTCCCCTGAAAAAAGCAGAATATTTCAACTAATATTTCTGAACAAGATTTTACTGTTCACTTACTTTATCCAACACCATCTGTCTTTTTGCCTCGAGACTCGGCTCCAGCAACAAGTTTTTTTCTGTGAAATAAAATAACTATTACTACTTTTTTTTTAAAGGATTCTGTTCACAGAACAGTCACAGATGCTAATGTTTTGACATCTTACTTGCCAGCTCTTCAATGCTTTTCACCAACTCATCTCTATCAGTAATGACTTGCTTCAGTTGTGGTAGAGTCACAAACTGTTCCAGTAACACTTCCTCTTGCTCGTTCATATTAGTCAGCTGCGATATACTATATTCAAGCAAAAAGCAAGCAGATTTAAAACTCACAGCAAATGTTATGCATAGAGTTACTCATTTCTGCCAAAAGTCAAAATGTAGGCATTTATTGGGGTTTTTCAGACACACAACACTTGACCACAACTTACTTTTCCCTTTTCTCCTGGACTGTGGGGTCTACTCTCTGCAGCAGTGAGCTTAAGCAGCAGTGTGTTAAAAGGTATCTCCCATTTCAGGTCTTCCTTCTTACTATAGTGGATTGACCTACCAGCCAGTCACCAGACACCCAGCTCTCTCAGTCCCCCTCCTCAAAAGGATATAGAGGAAAAGCTTGTGGGTCGAGATACAGTGAGACCACTTAACAATTACAATCACAGACAAAGCACACTCAACTTCAGAAAAATTTGATTTTAATTACAGCAAGAGTTGGATGGTGAGAAAAAAAAACAAACCCAAAACTAAAACACCTTGCCCCCTTTTCCCCTAGGCTCAACTTCATTCCTTCATTCCCAACTCCCCTACCTCCCTCTGCCCCAAGCAGTGCAAGCTGGGGTTTGGGGGAGAATTACAAGTGCTGCTGTCAGTCTGTAACAGTTTGTCTCTGCAGCTCCTTCCTTCTTACGCTTTTCCCCTGCTCCAGCATAGGCCCCTCTCCACAGGCTGCAGTTTTTGGCAGGAGAACCTGCTCTAGTGTGAGCTTTTTGTAGCTGCAGTTTCCTTCAGGGCATATCTGCCTGTTCAAATGTGGAGTCCTCCACAGACTGCAGTATGCATTTTGCTCCAGCTTAGTTCTCTCCATGGGTTACAGGGAAATACCTGAGCTACTCCAGTCTTTTCCAAAACTTCCATGAGCTGCAGATGAGTATCTGCTCTGGCACTTGGAGCACCTCCTCCCACTTCTTCTCTGACTTGCATGTTTAGAAGATTCTCACACTGCTCTACCCCTCCCCTCAATCCTTGCTGCCTCTATAGCATTTGTTTTTTCAAACATGGAATCATAGAGGCACCATATGCTTCCCTGTTGGACCTGGCTGTCCTGCAGTAGGTCTGCTGCCAAGCTGGCTATGCCTCTGGCCCCTTCTCACACATTCCATCAGCGACCAAAGTCCTATACACAATTGAGCTACTCAGAACAGATGCAATATTGTTTGTGATTTAACTCAGCTACCACCAGCAGAATCATGGAATTTTAATCCAGTTTTCTTGGAAGGATCAAGCTTGATTATGGTGTTTAGTTTAAACGAACAGATCACGCTTCCCCTCAAAACCCCTAACTTGCTGCTACACAATAAAGATGCTGCTAGAACTTACAGCTGATTTAGCTAAATTAAACAGGCTCTTAGGAATGCGTGAGGGAAACAAAAGAAAAAAAACCCAAACAAACAAACAAAAAACCCAAACTGAAGTCCTTCTTGCCGAAGGTCTCTTCCATTTTGAAAGCACAGTTTTTAATCGCTAAACTATGATGCCACCATCAGATGAGAAAGAAAACAATGTCCTAAGACCCTTTCAGAATTAATAGCTAATTTGTAATCTATTCAATCCCAAATAACTGACATAGAGAGCTGTCTCATTAGATCTGAGCAAATTGCTGGGAACAACAACTAATACAATTTTTTTGAATTGTGACAAGATACGCTTTTGATGAAAATATTTGCGTAGTGTGTGGAAGTGACATGCACTGGGAAAGCTGGCACATCTACCTCCTGGATTTACCTAACCTACCCCCCCTACACACGCTGAGCTGCTCACAAAGTAATCTGTTGTTTGCCCTGTTCTACAGCCCTTTTGAGTTTTACAGAATGCAATTTGTGATCAGTCTCAAGTCCATTTCCCTGTCCCCATTCGTACTTCAAGTTACACTTTTTGTCTTAGTAGAAATTACATCCCTGGCAAGATACCAGGAGATAGCAGAACACTGATAGTTAGGAAAAGTAAAAATAAATGCTCCTTTTCCCAGTGTTGAATCCTGAAGTATCATTCCGGCAGAAAAAAAACCTAAACAAGCAGCGTATTTGAATACAAGGCTGGCTTACTTTCTGACTCTACAATTTTGGTAAGTGTTAGTTCTATTTATAATTTCTACAAAAATCTTTCAGTGATGTATACAGACTTCTGTCAGATACAGAGCAGCTGTAATTGCCTTTTAATGACTATGGAAAGTTTTGCTACCTTTGGAAAAATTACCTTAGTTCTGAGAGTTCTGGAAAGGTATCAGGAACATCGGGCATCTTGTAAGTAAATCCATTCTGGCCAATCTAAATGGAAGTTTAGAAATATTTAGCAGATTTTTGAAGAGCAATTTCTTGATATTTAACCTGATTAATCCAAAACTGGAGATGTATATTTGACAGCAATAAGAAAAACAGGAAAAGCAGTAAGAAGCAGTAGCACTAGTCTCTGAACAGAAGACACTTAACTAAACCATGGCAACAAAATACTTGTTTGGGGTGGTGTGTCATAAAAAAGGAGTCTGTTTTGGAGGAAAATCATTCTGTCTTGATATGACCTCCATTTGACAACAGTTGGATGACCCAGGAAACATACAGGAGGGGTGTAACTCAGGGAAGTGAGAACAGATAAAGAGATTGACATTTTGATCTATTTCATGTGGTTTTTAAATCCATAATCCCTTGGGGAAAAAAAGTCTGCCTTCACAGAATGTAGTAATTTTAAATTACACGAAGCCAGGAAAGTGTCTTCCACAATTAAAAAGCTTTTTTTAATAAAGACAAGATCTGATGAAAGACTAAGCATTTAGATAAAACGTTTTTGGAAGACATCCAAAAAAAGTCCTTCCAGGGTGCATCGGTGAGGGGGACTTTGTGAATACACACATACACAGTCTGTGAAGAAAAGCTACTTTAAGCTTGAAAACTCTACACCTAAAAGCTTGACACTGCACATTGTTCAGGTTCTGGGCAGGAAATCCCATCTAGAGAACAGAAACCTCATTTTCTTCATCTGGCTAAACAGCCACAGATGCAGTATGGGGGAGTGCAGGTCCAAAAAAAGTAGATGGAAAGATACTTAGCATAACACTAGATTAACTGAACCTCAGAAAGACAAACAACTTATTCTGACTTCAAGTTTGTTCCAAATAACTTCCCATTGAAGCCAGAATGACAGTTTTGTTTTCCTAGCACCAACAAAACAATCAAGTGCAGTCACTCAGACTGTTTCCTTGAGATTGCAACAAAGCTGTGTGTGCTCTTGAGAGAACTTGTACCCAGCGTCTGATGCCTTAAGCAGCAAAACTGCGCACAGACCTGAAGCACTGCTTCTGCTCTTGGAACAGGTAGTGGCAGATCAGCAATCAAGCCGTAAGAGGGAGCAGCAGGCTTGTCTGCAGTGTAGCTTGAAGAAACTGATTCACCAACGGGCACGGCTACTATTGTTCTGTTTGTTTCTTGAGGTGGGTATGGAGGAAGAAATGGAAACCCCTGAGGAGCATAAGGAGGCATTCCAGATGGTTTGTTGAAAAGGCTAAAAACAAAAAACCCCACAATATGAGCAAGCAACTGCTTATAGCACATTTCTTAAAATTATAATTACCAGATAACATAAAAGACCCAAGACTGAGTTTTTAAATGATCATAAACTTTGCATTTTCTGTTCTCAGTTACTTCCAACACAGTAAGTATATCTACAACATACATTCCATTAAACTATATTCTTGTAGAATAGCCAAATACACACACGTTACAGAAACCCACTTCTCAAAAATTTATGACTGCATAAATTTAAATTGTTTCCACCTGAAAGTCACGAGAAATGCATCTGTGATGTACATTAGTTCTTATTTATAGTACTTAACAGCTTGGGCAACACACACATAACTACTTCTAAACAACATGAATGACACTTTAAAATTCGCAACTGCAGCTGCATCTAAACGCACTACCATTGTCAGCTACAAGAACCACAACTGTACTGATAAAGCTGTAATGTCTCAGACCACTTCTGTGTATTTAATACAATTCTTTAAATTGCACGATTTCTGTTGTGTAGCTGTGCAACAGAAGCTGCCTTCAAGCCTGGGAGATTAGAAGCAGAATATGAAGAAACATGACTGCTCAGATCATGACCTACAGAAAAACTGATAATATGAGCATTTATTCTTCTTAAAGAAAAAAGCAGCACATTAAGTTTTGCATTTTGATACTGTAACTCCAGTGAAAGCTGTATTTCCTCTCAAAACAATCATGCCATAAAGCATGCCCGTGAAATTTAGCAAAGGCAGGCAACCTATGTTTCCCAGTACATCTACTACTTTATTCCTGTTCCTGCCCTCCCAATACTTGGTTTCATCTCTTTTTTAACAATCTAAGTTAATACACATAGTTCCATTCATCATGTTTATAGGTACTTACTATGGAAATGATGTTGAGCTAGGAGCCAGAACTGGAGGATTCTTCCAAAATTCATCCAGTAAACTCTGAATAATTTTTCCAAGATCTGAGTGCATTGTAAACTGGTAAAAACAAAGCCCAATGCAAAAGAAGAATTTATGCCTGAAATACAGCAGTTCTAAAAAGTGCTGAACTTGACTGTTTATTATACACACACACAGCAGCGCTAGAAGCTATCTCAGAAACATACCAGCTAATCTAAAACACGTATCCATAAGCTTCAAATAAAGTGATAAAACCACCCAGACCTGAACAGAAACTAGAAGTCTTTCATTAACAATGAAAGTCCATTAACAATGGAGAATCAAATATGTTTCTGATCATCAACCAAAAAAAGCCCACCTTAGTTACCAAGTTACATTTGGGAAAACACAGAAAGGAGAAAGAAAAAAAAACAAGTAACCAAACAAAAAAACCCGAACCCAAACAAACAAAACCACCAAGATTTAAGACAAAAAAGCATTAATTGCATTCTGAAAAGTCATAACCTCTCCAGTACTCCCATCCCAAAAACTACACCACATCCTTGTTGGCAGAGAAAAAGGAAAGAGAATAAAGAAAGAACAGCATATTAAAATCCTGATTAAAATTCTGAATATTAGAGCTGAAACCTTGACATCTTTCTAATAGGATTAGGGCAGAAAGAACTATGTTACAAAACAAGCCTTAAAGCATCCTTCTCCCTTACCTAGAATACACTTTAAAGAAACACAAACTGCTATTGCTACTAACAAGAAAAGCAACAGGAACTTTCCAAGCCATCATAACTTAAAGTAGTTCTAGATACATGGAACACTAAGCTCAGTAATGGTAGCAGTAAAATAACAGTAGCATACTGAACACTACTGAATTTTTGTTTTCATATCCCTCAAAATACAGTTGAGAGGGATTAGGATCTGTACTGGTCTTTTTTACCAGAAGTAGTAGCAATGATCTAGTGTGACTTGTATTGAAATCGCTATTAATAGTAGATATTATGTGATGCTATGAATTATACATACATTACTTATTAATGGACCAGTCACATATACTCCCTGCTTGTCCATTAAATGATGTCTCACAGGTGGGAAAACACTGATGACTGGTTTTTCCTGAGGAAACTGAGGTGGAAGCAAGCTGCAAATATAAGAATAACATTATTACAGCTACAACCCACGATAAAGTTTGCATAAGAAGGCTTCTTATGCAAACAAAAAATACCATTAATTACATAAACTTTTCTATGTGAAGAGTTATGGAGAAATACAGAGTGACTGAAACACACAGAAGCATTACTCAGTTAAAAAACTAGAAGTCAGACAGATTAGAATAGCAGACCTCCATGGAACTAAAGAGAGCATTTACTGGGCAAAAATGTAGTACAACAATGCAGCAATAATACCCATGGACAAAGAAAAAGCTGTAGCATAATGAGAATATTTTCTAATACAAATTTCAAAGACAATGCAGTGTAACCTGCAGAGTATCAGGCAAGTTACCAGGCTAACATAATAAAAAACTCAGGAATACCATCAATGTTTGCCAGAGCAAAAGCACCCCCCAAAGTAAATTCACAAGAAACGTTACAGTAAGTCACTTCAGGTTATGATCCAGCAGATCCACTAGGGTAACAGGAGTTACAGCAGATTAGTAAATTATGAATTAAGTTTACTCTCAGTTGTAGTCATCAGAAACCCTCAAGAGTTGTCTTTTATTTACCTTCAACTCAAATCATGCAGGTATCTTGGGAGCTGAGCACAGCAAAACAGTTTTACTTTCAGCTGAGCATCTGCATCTTGTACATAATTAGTTTTGCTCATATTACTACAACTACTAATACAAATCCAGGTTATAGCCACTGAAAACAGTTATGAGATAGAAACCATTCATATTCTATTCCTATTTTTTTCATAGAACAATTTTAACAGTCAAGATGTGCATAGAAATATCACAGCCTACTTACATGTTAATATTAATTGTCAAGTTGTTTACAGTGAATGGCAGTCGATATTCCACATCTTTCTGTATTTCTGCAATGCTGTCAAAGAAGAAATTGTTACCATCCAATTCATGGTCAATATAACAGCCTGAAGTCTAAAAAATGCATGACTCCAGATCTTTGTATTTAGTTTAGTTTTGAAAAGCCTCGTCAGAATAAAATTGAAAATGCTGGAATAGATTCATATGCTTCAGAATGCTATATTGAGTATTCAACTATTAATACATGATCACAAGCAATGGAAAAACAGTAGGAGAATTTGTGCTACTCACTAATCTGACAATCACCTCAACTTATTTTTTTCCACTTACTGGCTTAATTTAAGACAACACATCAGTGATTTTTTTTTTATATACTGAATTTTATCTGATAAAATGTTTACTTTGTGAAGGCATTACACTTGGTTCACAATGATAAAATACTCTGCAACACTGCATACTGATCAATATTTAGAACATATATTAAACTAGGCCTTCTTCCTTAATATATTAGCGTACTACTTAATAGCAGTTTTTTCCACATGCACTGAATTCTATGCACTTGCACACGTATTTTCAAGGATTATCTGGAGAAGAGCTACCTGCAAGAATGCAAAGTTCTGTAATACAGTGACACGCAAGACACAGACCCCACTGAAAGCACCAAGTGACAAAACATGTACCTTATGAAACCTGGCAAGACCAAACACAAATTTGCTTCTCTTGTAAGAGCTAAGTTACTGAGGAAATCTTTACATCAGGTGCATCAACAGAGAATGGATCTCAGTGCCCAAAGCACTCTACAGTTTGTATGCACAGCAAGACTATTTCAAAAGATGGCATCCCAAAGAATGCGGAGGAGGAGGAGAAGACTTAGCTCAGAAGCAGAATTTCCAGACAATGCAAACATAACTAAGGTGGGACTCGGAGAAAGTAGGGCAGAAAATTAGCTTCATCTTACAATGCCTCGATCGAAACAAACTGAAAAAACAGACTGATTCTTCTTCTGTGTATTTTTCCTGCCTGTACCTGGTTAATAATGTTGTCCCCCTTCAGCTCTCTAAGGCTCCCTTAGGAAGTGAGGGAACACAGCTCCAACCAGGAATAATGGCAGTTGGGTGTTCCCAGAAAGCCTTTTGCACCGAACTTCAGTAATGTCCCTTCATCCACCTCCACTTACGCTCCATACAGTTACTTCCTCAAAAACCCCAAAACACATCAACTGCAAATGTGCGTTAAATGTAGTGTTAGGAGTGTTTTGTATCCCTCCAAAGCATTATTTGCACATAGAATTTAAAACTCTTGCTTTCAAAGCTTCAGCAATAAATGGAGTGAGACACAAACCTAGCTATACACCTTGCTTTCCTCAACCCAGCCTCACTCTGACAGACAACTCAGTACCTGCTCTTCCCCTGTGAAATCACATGCTGTTTGAAGAAACTACCAGGTATCTTTCGGCACAGGAGAATTCTCCACTGTGATATACCACACACTGAAATCACCACCTCCTCGTTCTTAACTGAAGGATTCTCCCTGGAATCTCTCATGCATATTCCTGCCCTGTAATCATCTGTCATGTATTTTAATAGCCTGCTACAAAATCCTTTTGGGAAGAGTATATAATTATGCTTGACTCACACGCACAACCTACAGGAACTGGGGAGGAAGAGGAGAACAGGGAGAGAGAACCAAGAAATCCAGAATCTCATTGAGCTGTTTCAACTATTACAACCTCCTTTAAGCAAAACCTTGAATCGACAAACTTGGTTGTCCCTTCCCCAAGTGAGAATATATATTTAATCATTCCTTAGAAAACAATGCTGTTGTAATGCTTAATGCATATTCCTATCCTATAGATCTGTGCTGGTATGGTGTTCATAAACAAGAAAAAAACCTGTGGTTTTTTTTTTTTTTAAAACACAAAAACCTCATCTCAAGCTCCCAACCTGTGGGTGATCCTGAAAAGGTAGACTAGCTACTTTAATGAAATTAAGATGACATATACCTGGGCTTTTACAAAATAGACTTATCAGACAAAACAAACACTAGAATGACATATATTTAATCATTCCTTAGAAAACAATGCTGTTGTAATGCTTAATGCATATTCCTATCCTATAGATCTGTGCTGGTATGGTGTTCATAAACAAGCACATCAATCCCACACAAAAAAACCTTTTTATTTTTGAAGACTTAGACAAACACACACACCTTTTTAAAAGCACAGAGTTTGAGACACTGTTACTAGGATTTATTCAATTGTATCTCTTATGAAACCTGTACGCTTTTCCAAAATTTACTCCTTCGCTTGCCTAATTTGGGAGCATTTTACACTATCGTCTAGAGATGAGGCAGGCAAGTTTACATGGCTGTAAAGTTCTGTGTGAGCAGCTATTATCTCCAGACCATTCCCAGCTGCAGAGTCCTTTCCATCTCTGCCTATGCATAACTGATGCCTGCACAAACGTGGTAAACCAGTTCAGCAAGCTGACTTTGATAAAAGCTGATCACCTTTTTTGATAACTTAACTTGGAGTGAGCTCATCTCCCTGGCAGAGAAAAAGGGATAGAAATAGAAGGCTAAAAGTAAGCCCCGTCCAATAAAAACTTCTGGTTAGGTAAGCTGCTGCGTACCCACAGAAACAGCTCCTTAGGAAAGTGATCTGTCTTTCAAAAATGTTTGTGAAATTGACTGTGAACAGATTTAAGCAAGCAACAGTACTTAGCAATACCATCAAACTTATGGTTCCTGTGTGATAACTGAAGATACTAAAGTAGTGAGCAGTCTGCTCAAAATACAATAAATATCTCTTACACTCTTAGTCTCAGTCTGGTATAACAGGAAATAATTTTCCTTCCTTTTTCTGGATTGTTTTGGAGGCATCTACCATTCCACTTCAACAGACATCCCAGGAAGCATGAGGAATGCTTACACATCCACTGGAAAGTCTAACCTGAAATACATAACTGTGAATCTCCTTTTAAAACGTGAACACATTTGAAAGGCTCAAATTTAGGCAAAGCTGACCAGCATACTGACAAGCTAGAGTACTTCAGGGTAAAGGAATTTTCTGCTGTGAAAAGCATGGCTGTTGAACAGGAAAACGCTACCTGCCTCTGGTGAGCATCTGCATAAAACAAGTTACCAAGGAACAGTCAGTTATTAGCAAATTGGCAGTGTACATCAAAAAAAAAACAGTCTGTAGAGCCAGTAGGGCTGCTATGCTACTGCTGGTACCAGCACTGCGACCCACAGCTCCTGTACGCTCTGTGTTGAATTCTGAACTTTTAAAGAACTACGCTCCTACAACCAGTTCCCAGAAAGAGGACTTTAGTCCACACACGCCATCTGTACCTCGCCGTAGACTTCAAAACCCATTAAGTAACTCAGCTGATTCCCGGTCAAGAGGCCAGTGTCACTGGGCGCGATCATCAG